GGGTTGTGGAGCTTAGGGAGACCAGGTGCACACGAATTCCAAAATATGGGAGATTCTTTAAAACAATCCCTGTAAGCTTGTGTACGAATCTGGACCCCATACTCCCCTTTGTAACTAAGGGGTCACCAAAGCCTTAATACATCCCGTTAGTCGCTGTACAGTCGAGATATCTGCAGCACTACCGTTGAGGGGCTATAGGACATCATCCGATTGCAACTGCGCTTTTCTCTATCCACAAACCCCAGGAAACCTCTACAGAATCCCAGTGTCAATGTAATGTTCCTCTTTTTCCCCCTTTGATTCATCATCATAATTCATGTTCCTGTAGTACGCTATCTAAGCCCGATCTAATTCCTCTAAATCCTTTGAGGGGTCCCATGATGAACGCCGTTAACCAGGATACCACACGAAGGTCCATGGGACTTGAGCACTACATAGGCTTATAGCCCACCTAGTATCCTTTTAACTGGCCTGAATGGCTTACCCCAACTGTCAGTAAAGGTTTAATCCTGGTTATGAGTGATTACTGATTCCCTCCCCCGAATCCTAAACAGGCGCCAGCCTTCGAAGTAAGCTGGCGTTGTCCGCGGCGGTTTAGGCGGCGATGGTTCCTTGATTTTGGAATTAGGGTTTGGGGGCTTAGGGCGTGATCTGCTACACCTGTACGTAGGGTTTAGGGTTGCGAGTTCTGGCGCTGTGGTATACTTAAGCTCATGCAGGATCTTCTCCAAGAACAGCAATGGCACGAATGAAGCCACCACCTTGGGATTGTGGCTAGCTTCAGGGCTTATACTATGCAGCGTTTAAACGTTCAGGGCTTAGGGAAGCTTAGCGTAGGTCCCGGCATGATCTGACTTTTTAAGTGCAGAAGCTACTCTTGGGCTCGTCTGGGCCTGTGAAGAGGTGCCCTTCATGTTTACCTTGCCCAGAACTGATTGCTTACCCTGAAAGGGTCCAAGTACCCAATCATTAGGTACTTGGGATTTNNNNTACTTGGACCCTTAGGGTTACTTTGGTTTCAAGAAGCTGATGCAGCACAAGCATTCGCTTCCCTCGTCGTTTGTCAACCAGCCTAGCTCGCCGGGTACTAAACACCCGTCTTGGGAATACTTAGCCACACGATACAAAGAGTTCCTACCACAGAAGCCGTACTTTGCAACCATCAATGCCACTCCCACAGCCTTGAACTGGTTTAGAGTTTAGGGTTGTGCGTTTTGCCTGGACCTCAGTGCTGAGGACACGACTTGTAGTATACCTCCCACTCCTCCGCAAAAGTTTCCAGGTACTGCCTTGCAGTGGTGAGCAACAGTACAGTTATCATTAGCAAGATAGAAAAACAATCTTGCAAAAGAAGACGGCGAGGAGGTGACACATACAATCAGATGTTGTAAACATCTGATTCGGTCAGCCAATAGTGTTCCCAGAGGGTCCATGTAGTTAAATGACATATATATATATACATATGNNTATATGTATATATATATATATCGGCCAAAAGGGTCCCCACACAACCACTTTGGGGCCCAAGTATATGCAATGTGGCTACATGTTTCCATTGGAATCCAATCAACTGTCCATGTTTCTCCGGTGCAGACACACGAGCAAGTCTACGTCATAACTTGGTCCAGTTGAGCAGAGCAATCCGTAGCGCAGGGGGCATGATCGAATATCGCTGAGTTGAGAACATACTTTAGTGGTGGTTAGTAGGGAACATTGGCATGTAATCCCCGTATACTCCCTACATGGCATATTCCATTATTCTCTACC